CCCCTGGCAGACCCAGCTGGCTGAATAAAGAGTGTGTTTCCTATAACTCACTGATATCTGGTGGTCCGTGTGTCTATCCGGGGCTGGCGGCTACAACACTCACACTGGGCAGCTTCGCACATCCTTCGGGCTTCACTTTCTGATCCATGGTCTGAAGTCACTCTTCCAGGCCCACTTGGAGTCTTCCTGCACCTCTGATGAGGAAAGCAGAGGTTCTCCCAAGCCCTAGAGGCGGCTCCACAGTAGGACTTTGAACTCCACCTCGCCCCGCCCCACCCCGCGGGACCCCCTTTTTGGCTCAGAGTTCCGCAGTGTGGGGTGGGACCCTAGAACTGACTGGAAGACTGGGGGTGGGGTGCCATTACTTTCCAAATTTAGCCTCTCTTGGGGAGGATGATCTGGGGGCAACTAGACCTCAGATTGAGTCCCTTCTAGGGCATGGAGATGTGACGACGGGACTGAGAGGGGTTTCCTCTGGGTCAAACACACCCACTCCCTTCATTTCTCTGGTTTTCAGTCTCCCCAAGGCACCGCAAACTGCAGTTCAGGCGAAAAGAGCAACCACAGCTGCCTGTCTACCTCTGAGGACTCTGCGCCCGCCTAAACCGCCCTTGGCGGCCACACTTATCCTCCTCCTCCTCCCTCTGACCTGTCACTGTCAGACATCGCTTTGTCAACATTCCCTAACAGCCACCCTCTAAGGGCCGGGCCAGAGGGCACCGCCAGCATCCCAGGAGCAAGAATGTGAGCAGGACACGCATGCGCGGGCAGTACCTCCACGGAGGACAGGACAAACCCGCCAGAGGGCTCAGTTGGTGGCGGAGAACGCATGCGCAGATGCTGCGCGCCGCTCCAGCAGAGAAGATACCGTGAGTGGGTGCGGACGCGAAGCTGGACTTGTGCGTCTTCGTGCCCCCGTGCTGCCCTCTTTCCTGTCCCTAGGTCTCGTCTTCCCACACTCAGTCAGGTCTATAGGACAGACCCGTATTCAAGTCAGCGTGAATCCTTCCGTTCAGCTGACAGTCCCTCTAATAAAGAAAATAAAAGTGAGTCTAAAGTGCCTTTGCTTAGAGTGGGTGCAGCCTGTATGTCGATTGCCATCCTACACTTGGTTTCATTGTGGGCGACTTTTCTTCCCCATCTGGAAGCGGCAGAAATAAAACAGGAACTTGCCTCCTGCCCAAGCCCCTTCGCCAGACATTTTGGGTTCCTGAGGGCCAGAGCCACCTTTGGGCTTCTAGTGATGACGGGATCAGAGTCTCCCCACTGCGCTCCACGCCCCCGCTATTAGGACAGCCTCACTTGGCGCAAGTGCATAGGGCAGAATGCACAGCGCTAAGACGGACTGCCTTTTATGGCAGATATGAGGAAATTGAAACTGAGAGACCAAGACGAAGTGACCCAGGTCTCACAGCTGCCCCTTCAGTAGGTGCGTGGTCAAGACTTATTACAGACACTGCCTCTAAAGCCTCGCACCCGGAATAGGCACCCTCCCACCCCGCGGGCCGCCCACCTCTAGGTACTGTCAGATCACACTGGCAGGGGTTACACTGGCAGCTGCCGCCCCGCCCGGGCTGACTCATTCCCCACCCCCACCCCATTTATTCTGTTCCAAGGTCTTGCCTAACTCGACCTGGGCGGGCGCGGAAGGGAAGGGATTATCAGAATCTCTCCCTGGTCCTTCCGATTTTGGGGTCGGGGTAGTGGTTGTTGAAACTAGTCTAACTCCAAGGCTGGAGAGCTGGGAACCCCAGAAGGGCCAAGGCCCGGTGTCTACCGCTGATGACGGCAGGGTAGCAGGGCAGGGTCCTCCAAGACGCCTCGGTTAGGAGGAGGGGTGTTGAGGAGTCCCAGAGAGAGAAGAATGGTGCATTGTGGGAGCCTCCCTCCTCTGGGCTCTAGTCCTCTGCCGACAGCGGCTGTCATTCCTTGCTCTGATGCCAGCTGGTTCCCAGTTCCTCGCATTCATTCCTACCTGCTTGCTTTCCTGATTTCCTTGGGCTGTCCACAACCCCTTCCTTTCCTTCCCCACTGCCTCCCTGGCTCCTGGCCTCTTTGCCTTCCTCGACCTCCATATTGCCAGAATAGGTCATCTCCCTCCCACTTGTCAGCCCTGCCGGAAAAAAAACAAAAACAAAACAAAACAAACAAAACAAAACAAAACACACACACACACACACACACACACACGCACGCACGCACACACACACACACACACACACACACACACACACACAAACCAGCTTGTGCTTTAGTGGTTTCACTAAGTCTGCAGATGACTCCCAGCTTTGTAGCTCTTCTGCTAGGTGGATGTGTAAACCATGAAGTAATTCTTCCAAGGCTGTGAAGGCAAGGTGGATATAAGTAGAACTGACATTGTGCACTGATTATAACACTGATTCCACAAAATGATATAGGTTTATTGCGATGTCACATATATGCATTTGTGCTTTAGTGGTTTCACTAAGTCTGCAGATGACTCCCAGCTTTGTAGCTCTTCTGCTAGGTGGATGTGTAAACCATGAAGTAATTCTTCCAAGGCTGTGAAGGCAAGGTGGATATAAGTAGAACTGACATTGTGCACTGATTATAACACTGATTCCACAAAATGATATAGGTTTATTGCGATGTCACATATATGCATTCATTCACTCAATAAACACTGCCATCTGTTCTGCGCTGGGCCATGTATGGCGTACCAGAAATCAGAAATCAGAATAGATCCCTGATCTCTCGGGAAGTAAGGGTTGGTTCAGAGGTGGGCATACAGAGCTGTGGGAGTCTGAGGAGGGCCATCTCACTGCGCTGGTGTTATCTGTGGGTACCTTGGCCAGATTTAGCAAATAAAAATACAGGATGCTCACTCAGATATGAATTGAGATAAATAACATAATTTTAGTTAATAAATAATTTTTGTAGTAGCATGTTCTAAATATTGCATGGGTGATACTCATACTGAAAATTATTTGTTGTTTATCTGAAATTCAATTTAATTACTGAGCATTCTGTATCTCATCTGGCAGCACTACTGTGCGTTGTTGCTGGAAAGTACGGTGTTATACAAGCTAAAGTCAGGCAGCAGCCACAGATTATGGAGAGCCCTAAAAGTGAAGAAGAACCACGGAAAGGGTTTAAAGCAAGGAGGGTAACATAACAAAATTTGAGTTTTAGGAAGAGGCTTCTGCTGGCTTCTTGGAGGATCCTTTTAGGATTGACGACAGTGAGATCTGACCACTTGCAATAGCACAGACGAGAAATTTGGGGTGGTGATTATAGGGAGATAGGAGAGAGCACATGCCGGATTCAAGAAGTATGACTTAAATTGACAGGTTTTGGCAATTGATTAGATGAAGTAAAGAGGGCATCAGCCCCAGGGTCTGGCTTGGGATCTGGGAAGATGATATTGCTACCAGCTGAGATAGAGCAGGTTTAGGTGGTGATAATTGAGTTTAGTTTAGCACATGTGTTGGAGGTGCCTAAGGGCCATCTGATATAGGGGGCTAGCAAATGATTGGCTATCTCATTCCGAAGTTCAGTGGAGAGGTGAGCTGGAAGTAGAGAGAGGTCCTCAGCAGAGAGGTAGTGTCGAAACCAGGAGATGGATGAGTTCCCCAGAGAGGGGGCAGAAGAAAAGGAACCCAGGGAGGAGACTAAGAAGGAACAACAGTCACGGAAGTAGGAGGAACCAAGAGAGTGAGGTGTCATGGACACCAAGGGGTTTCTAGGAGGAGGAAGTGATCAACCATGTCAAATGTAACCAGAAAGTTTTGATTACACAAAGCCTGAACAATGCCTATTTATTTGGGCAATGCTAAAGTCATCATGACTTTAGGCTGGCATCACACAGGCTCCTTCAGACATCAGCCTCATTAGTTCAAATGGTAAACACTCAGCTAGCATGTGTCCTCACCAGTCTTTCTCATGCCCTGAACACTGCTTTGGAGTTTAAGCCATTAATTTGAATTGTGTCCCAGCTCACTTTGAAATTACAGGCACACATTCAGATGCTCTCCATAATTCATCATTGGATGACTATCCAAAGTGTGCAAAAGTTGAGTTCAATCTCTTTCCTGTTTTCTAATGATCTTGAGACAGGTGCAAACGATAAAGAGTGGGCTGCTCAGTGGCACAAATCCCCAAGGAAGTGGGAGGGGCTGGGACCCAGAGGCCAGTGGGAAGGGCAAACCCCAAACAGGACCTCTCTTCTCTAAGGATAGTGTGGTTAGAGAGAATGTTGGAGGTGACAAGAGAGGAAGCATTCACTTGATAGCCTTCATTTGCTCTAAACACAGCATGTACAGCCCCTTTGGAGTCTGTAGAGAGAATTTTAAGAGCCCATGGACTTGGATGGGGGAGGGGAAAATTGCATCTTTATTTTCACTATCGCTAACAGAAATGCAGCATGTCCTTCTAGGGGATGTGAGTAACAAACTATAGTAGTATTAGCAGTACCTGCGGCTTTCTCACCAATGGAAATCAGATTTTCATAGCTTATGGTTGTTGCAGATCTTTCAAAATAACATCACCACCTTGAAATCATGGTAGTCACTAGACCTGTTGATAGAGCTTGGTATTTAATGTATTGATAAAGAAGCACATATATTACTACATGACAGACACATTTCTTATTTTGGTAATTGCATTTCTATTGTAATTCTATTTATCTTATGTATGCATTATTCTGGATTTCCCCAGTGTCCCGCGCAAAGCCTAGCATGTAAGAGTCTCTCAGATATGTTTACACTTAAATGAAGGCTTTTTCTGAGGAGTAAGGGGCACTATCTCAATCTCTCGTCTCTCCCCAACCGCTGTCCCCGCGAAGCTGGCCTCTGTCCCCGGGCCAGCTAGAGAGTCGGGCGGAAGGTGTGGTGGTATTGTGCTGCTGCTCTTGGGTTCTTTTCCCAGGTGAAACAACTCTCTGCGGGCACCTTACCGCAACCTAACCCTCTCGTACCCAGGAAGTTGGTAGCCGCCCTGACGTCCAGCGCGGCACAACGCCCTCCCCGCCAGCCCCGCCCCGCGGCTTCGCTTTGGCCAACCAGCGACGCCGGCGGCCCCGCCCATTGAGTTGCCTGTGTAAGATGGCTGCGGTGTGTAGACGTGTAAAGGTATTCGGGCCCTTCCCCCTGCCGCTTTCCCTGCTGTACCAGCTACTACGGCGTGGCCATTAAACTAGGGTGAAGAGAGCGGTGCTAGGAGATAGGCTTTGTATTGCAGTGGTGGGGCATGGGAGGCGAAGGTCAATTCTCTGCCTCACGTGTATGTGGGGTCTCAGTAGTAAGGAGAGAGGCACACCTAGGTAACACCGCAGAGGTGACCAGGATCCTGCCCGCAGAAGCCTCAAGAACGGCCAGATAAAAGAGTCTGGATAGTGTAGCTGCTGACTGCCCTCTTCACAGGACCTGGTCGCTGTAATAACCGGAGGAGCCTCGGGCTTAGGCCTGGCCACAGCAGAGCGACTAGTGGGGCAGGGGGCCACTGCTGTTCTTCTGGACCTGCCCAACTCGGATGGGGAGGCCCAGGCCAAGAAGTTAGGGAAGAACTGCGCCTTCGCCCCAGCCGACGTAAGTGAGGTCACCTCCCCTCCCCCAGAGTGTTTATGAGGTCACCTCCCACAGGGTGCTGTCCATATGAGCGGTGGACCCATCTCCTTTAACCTTCACAAAGTGGGGATGGGGACTGGACATAATAGAATCTGGAGAGGTTATGTATAGTTTGAGAATCCTTATTGAGCTCTAATTTTATATTTACAAAGTCGAAAAATTTCATGAAACAAACTACGGACAGTAAAGAGGTACAAAAAGGTAGCTTATTTTCATAGCAATAATTCCTAAAACAGTGCTCTGATCCACAGCAATTGAGAATGTCCACAGGTACGTGAATTTACCAAAAGAGGATATAGATTTGAAAAATATTTTGAAACACTGTTCTGTAGTACCTATCATTTTCAACTTTATCCCACCCTCGGGTTTTCTCATGGCCTCTACTTTGCTTACATAATTCTCCCCTCCCCGCCATAGGTTTAGTGGTGTGTGTCTGTGTGTCTTTGTGTCTGTGCTGGGAGATAAATACGTTCTCCACTTTTCCCTGTGAAGGTGACCTCAGAGAAGGATGTGCAAGCAGCCCTGACTCTAGCAAAAGAAAAGTTTGGCCGTGTGGATGTGGCAGTCAATTGTGCTGGCATTACAGTGGCCATGAAGACATACAACTTAAAGAAGAACCAGGCCCATTCCTTGGAGGACTTCCAGCGAGTTCTTAATGTAAAGCCTTGGAGGTTCTCTAGGGGTGGGAGTAAGAGGTGTCTGGCTGTGGCTGTCTCCGAAGCTTTTAGGGGACAAAAGGCTGCCTTTACCTCGTCCTAACCATGTCTCTACTGGTCTTCCAGGTGAATCTCCTAGGTACCTTCAATGTGATCCGCCTTGTGGCTGGTGAGATGGGCCAGAATGAGCCAGACCAGGGAGGCCAACGTGGGGTCATCATCAATACCGCCAGCGTGGCTGCCTTTGAAGGCCAGGTGTGTAGACAGGGGCAAGGCTTGTGCCTCTTTAGTGACTTGTCGAGGCCCTCCCACCTATGACCTCCACTCCTTCTCCAGGTTGGACAAGCTGCATACTCTGCTTCCAAGGGGGGCATAGTGGGCATGACACTGCCCATTGCTCGGGATCTGGCTCCCATGGGCATCCGGGTGATGACCATTGCTCCAGGTAGACATACCCTTCCTGCCACATCTGGGATTGGGTGAGATCCATGGGTTATTGAGAGGGGAAGGTATCCACCACCTAAGCAGCAGCAGCCTTCCATCTCCAAGCATAGGGAAGTACCATAAGTAGGCCTAAGGTGAGGGAGGACTCTGACTCTGATTCTGTTTTGTCTAGGCATATTTGGCACCCCGCTGCTGACCAGCCTCCCAGAGAAAGTACGCAACTTCCTGGCCACCCAGGTGCCCTTTCCCAGCCGACTGGGTGACCCTGCTGAGTATGCTCATCTGGTACAGGCCATCATTGAGAACCCATTCATCAATGGAGAGGTCATCCGGTTGGATGGGGCCCTCCGCATGCAGGCTTGAAGGGAGAGGGCAGAGAAAACACATACTTCTCCACCCTTTCTTTCCCAGGCATACTATACTACAGCCTGGGAAAGCCAGTAACCATTTTGTAACTACCCACTCGTCACCTTCTGTGCCTAATAAAGTCTCTGTTTCTCACAGGGAGTGGGTAGCACTGTGTGTTGGGGGTACTGGCATTGGAAAAAAAAAGTGAATAGGTGAAGACTGACAAGGCTGGATGCTCAGATCCCAGGGGTGGTGTCGGAAAGGCAGTACCTCATATCTTTTGTGTCCTGTTACAACACATGGCCTTGATTTTAGTGGACAGCTTTATTTCATAGGGTTAAGGTAGGGGTACTTGCTCAACTCCTTCCCACTGGGGAATGAATGGGGAGGAGGTCTGCAGCATCTTCCTCTCTGACTCCTTGCCTCTGTGAGCTTGATGGGGGAGAAGGGAGAGAGAACCATCTTGAGCTCAGCGGCTGCTGGTGTTGAACTGTAGGTAATATTGGGCTGTAGGCTCATTGGTGTAGATTATCGAATTTAGATAATTATGCCTGTGAAATGAAGGAAGTCCAGAGGCTTCAGCTGATGGGCTTTCCCTCTCTGGCCCTCACCATTCCTCCCCACTTCCTTTGTCATTCATCCCTGCTGCCTCCCCCTGGAACTCACTGAGCACTTTGCTCCTTAGCCAGCTGCTGGTTGAAGGAGCCCAGCCCCCTCCGGAATTCAGCACCCAGTAGCCTCTCCTGCTCTTCCAGTTCCATGGCTGCTTGGGCCAGGCACACGGCCTGGCCTTCCCATTCTGCATTGCGTGCTCGTTCGGCCTCGCGCTGTGCCTCCTTTTCAAGACGTTGCGCCTCCTGAGCTTTCTTCATGGCAGCTCGCTGTTCTGGAGTTATGCCCTTCCAGCAATGGGACTGGACCCGCTGGGGAGCCACAGAGTGTTGGGCAATGGGGTGTTTCTTAGTCAGGTCACTTGTGATCTGGTTTTGGATCTCCGCGAAGTTGGCATCCTGTCTGCGCTTATGCTCACGGCGCTGCCGCTCAGCCAGCTCAGCTGCCTGGTGGGGTCCCCGAATGTGAGCCCAACCTCGGGGAACTCTCACTCACAGGGGATGGGGAGACATGGCCCTACTTTCCTCCAACTCAGAGAGAGCAGGAACAGAGATATTGCATGGCTCTTGAATGACCTAAGGTTGGTGAGGGGTGTGGAATGGGCAGGGAACTTCTCTGCCCTCTGGAAGTCTAGACTGAGGCTGGGAAAGGGAGGACAGTGTGTTTTGTTCTCAAGTCATCCTGACTTTGGAGGTGGAGAACGGCATCTTCTGACCTAAAAGGGCCCTTGGGTAAAGGGGGGAAGTCCTCAGGTAGATGAGAGGGCTGGTGTTGATTCGAGAAAGGTTGTGAGGAGAAAAGTATTGCTAAAGTTCCCCAGAACTTTGCTCAAGGGATTGGGGAGAGCCCAGAGCACTGGATGGCTCAGGTCATACCTGGGCTTTGTTGGCGTTGGCTATGGCAGACATCCTGGCTATGCGACAGGACTCCTCCAGCTTGGCCAGCTGGGCGGCCCTCGTGTCCATGGCTAGGCGCAGCTGGTCATTGAGCATTTCTACACAGAGAAATATGGTCAAGGCACTATACTGGCTTATTCCATTCCTGGTTCACTCATTCAGCCATTTGTTCATCAAGCATTGTGGACATGTGTGTATGTATGTTTGTGAGTGGGGGTAATGTCCTAATTGTAGAGACGTAGAAGGAGCTACTTTGTGGGGCTAGGGATAGCCAAAGTGGCAGTACAAGGATTTCTCAAGTGCCTAACTGAAAGATACCTCCAATGGACTTGAGTTCCAAATCCAGCTCTATTGCTTCTGAGCTGTGTGACTTTGGGGAAATCATTTCATCTCTCTGAGCCTCAGTTTAAGGGCCATGTGTTGGGTTCTGAGGACACCACGGAATTCGATCCTATCCTAAGCTCCTTGGCTAGCATGTGTGTAGGGGGACAGATCAAACATAGATCACCATACTATAATGTGGTAAGGTCAATGAGATGTGTACAGGGCATTATGAGAGCTTTAGGTGGTGGGTGAGAGGAAGGCTTCCAGGAGGAGGTGATCCTTGAAATACATGTTGTACATAGGCAGAAAGAGCAAAGGGCATTCCAGGCCATGGGTATAACATGAGCAAAGGTATTGACACTTTTAATCCAGCTACACTGGATTTGCTTTCTAGAACATGCCAGACACTCCTGTCTCAGGAATTTGCAATAGACGTTACTCTTGGCCCATCTCACTTGCTCCCCTCTGGTGTTTGCTCAAACGTTACCACTTCAGTGAGGCTTTGTCCCTCTCCTATCTAAAATTGCAAACTGCCTACCTCCAACATTTATCCCCCTTCCTTGATTTTTCTTCTAGCATTTGTCGCTATCCAATATACTCTACATTTTCAATTATTTCGTCTATTGCTTTCTCCTCACTAGAAAGTAACCTTCATGAGGGCAAGGTTTTTGTCTGTTTTATTCACTACCATGCGCTAGCACCTAGACCAGAGCCTGTCACATAGTAGGTGCTCAATGAATTCATTTGACAAATATTTATTGAGCACCTACTATAGAGTATAAAATGCAAGTGGCTAGAGAGCTTTGCAGGGCCCAGACTAAGGGCTAGAAACTTCACCTGGGGGTGGTGGGGAACATGGGAGAATTTTAAGCATGGCGGTTAACACGGTTAGATTCCTATTTTTGAAAGCTCCTTCTGGTGGGAGACAATGGAGGTAGGGAAGTCATCTTGGAGGTTACTGCAGTAGGCCAGTTGGGAGGGCTCAAACTAGGCCAGTAGTGGAAAGGATGGAGGGGAAATATATAGGCGGTTACACATCAATAGTACTTGATGGATTGGATGAGGGGCTAAAGGAGAAAGAAGACTCATGGATGCTTCCCCAGGTCCTCGCCTAGGTGACTAGGTGCATGGTGTGGCCACTACTGGAAGTAGAAGATATAGAATGAAGAGAAGGTTAGGGGGCATTGATGAATTCTGTTTAGGAAGCTGAGCTGGAGGTGGTCAGCAGGCATTTGGATATCTGATTCTGCAGGTAGAGTCTCCTCAGCACAGAGGTGGTGACGTGGTAGCTGAAACCAGAATGAGGGCCGAGGGCACTTGAGGTAAATATGTAGGGTAGGGAGAGCAGTGGTGTGCTAGGGATAGTCTCAAGAAGGAAGGTGTAGAAGGAAGAGGAGCCCACAAAGGGCAGACAGAGAAGGATGGTCAGAAAGCTACAAGCAGAATGTGCTGTCACAGAAGCCAAGGAAGAGAAGGGTTCAAGAAGGAAGATGTAACCAGAGTCAACTGTAGCAAGAAAGGTCCAGTCAAGGAAAAAAGAGTAAACAGAGCCCCCTGTGCCTGATAACACCAAGGGCATTGGTGATTTTTGTAAGAGTAGTGGCAGCGAAGTTGTGTGGTGAGAAATGAGATCTCAGGGGGGTTGAGGTGTGACTGGAAAGTTAGGAAGAAAAGACAGCAAGTGGAAGCAGATTTTTCAAAAAGTATGATAGTAAAGGGAAACAGCTAGCTCACAGGATCTAGAATCACAGGGTGGAAGGAGGCTTTTGTTTCTTTAAGATGGGTTAGATGTAAGCATGTTTACCACACAGAAGGCCAGTGGGAGGGGAAGTGCTGAAAACTCAGGGGAGGGGATACCTGAGGGAGCACAGACTGGGGGCAGGGGCCAGAGCAGAAAGAATGGGGTCCAGAGCACAGGCTAAAAGCTTGGCTTTGAAGAGGCACAGGGACACGGACTTCAGAGACTGGAGAGCTTGGGAAGCGGGGCATTGGCGGGAAGAGATAAGGGTGTGCTGTTTCATTTCACTTTTCACAGCAATCTGGAAAGGATCAGACCCACTTTTCAGATGAGGACACTGAGAGTTCAGAGGTGAAGTAAAATACCCAAGGTTACACAGCTGGCAAGAAGCGGGTTGGGATTTGAATCCAAGGTCTCTGGAGGAATCAGCCCATGCTCCTTCCATCACACCACATGGACTCTCAGTGTAGTGCTGTCCCTGTGCCTCGCTCTGCCTTCTTCTACCCCTCCCTGCTGTCATTGGGCAGCTGGCCCCACACTGTCACTGCAACTGCTCTGACAAAAATCACCAACTACTCCTCACTTCCAAATCCAATACATAGATCTCTGTTCCTGTCTGGAACTGCTCCAGGTCATTTGACATTATCAATGACTCCCTCTCTGAAACTCCTCTTGGCCTCTGAGTCCCCACTTTCTCATGGAGACTGAGGGAAAGTTAAGTATGGCATTGTAGTCAAGAGCACTGTCGCTGCACCCAGCCTGCCTGAGTTTGCTTACCACTTTTCTATCACCCATGAGCTTTATGACTTTGGGTAAGTTATTTAACATCTCAGTTCTTCAGTTTCCTCTACTGAAAGTGGGGATAATACTAGTACTTGCCTCATAGGGTTGTTGTGATAATTAAATGAATTACATACATGGTAGAAAGCTTAGCACAGTATCTGGTACACATAAGTGCTCAATAAAGGTTTGCTATTAGTATTAGTTATTATTTTATGCATCTTTTTCCTACCTCCATTATCCCTTCTCAGTCTTTATTATGGGCTCCTTTTCCTTTACTCATTCATTCACTCAAGATACATTTACTGAGCATCTACTATGTACCAGGCCCTGTGTAAGTCACTGGGGTTGTAGTGGTCAATAAGACAGCTTTGGTCTTTGTCTTCACAGAGCGTACCATTTGCTCACCCCTTTCCCAGGCTCCAGGCTTGGCATTCTGCTCATTTGCACACACCCCCCACCATGGCCCCCAGATCTCTCCCTGTAGCCCAGACTGGCCCTGGAACGTCATATAGATACATAGCTGCCTGTCAGCCACCTCCTCTTGGCTGCAAGATTTCCTTGCCTCTGGGCTTCTCATTTTAATCTAACCTCCACATTGGCTGACAGTTATCTGTCTAAAACACAAATCATGTGACCCCAATGCTCAAAACTGCAGTGGCTCCTACCTCACTCAAAGCCGATATCCTTGCCATGGCTCATAAGGCCTACTTGATCTGGCCCCTATTACCTCTCTGACCTCACTTCCTACCACTCTTCCCCACATTCACTCTGGCCCCACTGCTATTCCTCAAACATTCCAGACACCCTCTCTCCTGTCTTAGGGCCTTTGCACTAGCTATTTCTTCTACTGGAATAGCTCTTCCCTCAGATATTTGCACTGCTCACTCCCTCATCTTCAGATCTGTATTCAAATGTTACCCCAGTGAGATTTTCCTTATTTAAAATTGCCACTGTGCACCCTTCTTCAAAAGTTCCTATATACCCTTTTGTGCTTTATTTTTTCCTCTAGCAATTATCTTAACCACTTTATATAGTTCTCTATTTTATCTTGTTCATTGTTTGTCCTCATTAGAGTGTGAACTCCATGACAGCAAAGATTTTTCTGATTTGTTCACTGTGCTAGGCACAAAGTAGGTAGCTTAATATTTGTTGAATACTGAAATGGTCTTGTCACTCCTCTGCTTCAAACCCTTAAGTGGCTACCCACTGCCTACACAATAAAGTCACAATTCCTTAGTTTGGTGTAGAAGGTTCTTGGCCCATTTTCTCTTCCTCCAAGCCCTCAACCCTGGGCTGTTAACATTAAACTGTTCGTGTATCCTAAATCCCCAGACCATTCACAGCCCTGATGCTCTTTCTCTTGCTGCCACCTCTGCCTAGAAGGGCCTTTTTTGTTCCCTTTCCCCATCCTGGCAAAACTGTAACCAACTTTCTAAAACTGGTTCTTGACAGCTGACCTGCACCGCCCTCCTACCCTGCCTCCCTTTCCACTCCCATGTTGATGTTCCCCCTCCATGTCCTATAAGCACTTCTATCACAGTAACCGGCAGAGTACCTAACAGAATGTTAAAGCATAAATATTTGCTGATGAATGAACTTCTACATGTATCTTCTCCTTTTACTCTAAACTGATTTTCTGGAAGGCATAGTTCTGTGGGCTCCTGGAGGGCAGGGCCCCTTTCTTGTTTACTTTGTTCTTCAACTGTTCATTCGACAGCAATTTATTGAGCTCCTGACACTGTGCCAGGCACTGTACTAGGTAACTGGGATACAAGTGTGGAAGTGAGAGATGTGGTTCATCTTTAGTGAGCTGACATTTGGGGGAGAAGGCAGACATTCCACAAATACTTTCGGAGTTTGTTACGTCTTTGATAAGTGGTACAACAGAACAGGGTGCTATATTAGGGAAGAGGAGGACATGGCCACAGATAATGTCATAGTAATAGTAGCTGCTGGTTATTGAGCACTGATGCTTGTGCTTCACATACAGAATCTCATTTCATTCTCATATGAGCTCTCTGTGGTATGGATTATTGTCTCCATTTTAAAGTTGAGGAAAGTGAAGTACAGAGAGGAAAATTCATTTGCCCAAACCAGCCAGTAAGCGGCAGAGCTATTAGGTTTGGCTTCACTGTGCTGCCTCCAGGTAACGGAATAACAGGTTGGTCTGGGACCAATGGCTATCCTGTCAGTTACTGAAGGAAGTCAGAGAAGTTGGGGTCTGCTCAGTCTTTCAGCAGCAGCCCTGTGGGTAATTGGACCTCCTTCCACAGTTCTCATCTCTCCTGGGTGCTGTACCTGACTCAGGACAATTCCCTGCCAGGCTTCAGGTCTCACCCTGGAGGGCCCAGCTGCTTACCTATACGCTGTTCTTCAATCCTGGCTAGTTGTTGCTCCCAAAGCTGCCTGTCCAGGCTGGACCTAAACTGCTCCTGCTGCATTCTCAGGCACGCAGCCCTGTCCAGGTCTTCCCCAGACAAGTACTGCAGGCTGTTTAGGCCATAGTAGGGAACGCTGTCATTGTGATAGGCTGGAAACTCGTTCCAGAATCGGTCTGGATCCGAAAGGTCAAATTCACACCTATTCCTGAGCTGCTGCTTCTGCTCACGAAAGTCCTGGACTTTTTTGGCCAGCCGACGTGTCCGTTCTGCCTCTTCCTTCTCTAGCATCTGGGCTACCAGATCATACTGCACCTGGTTGGTACCTGTGGATGGTAGGCGGGGACATGTAGAATGTCCTGCGGGAGGGACAGAACCCACTCAGCACAGCCTGTGCTCCCAAGCCCATCTGGTTTATTCTACCACAACCAGGCGCCAGGCCTGGCTCCAAGGCAGAACTGCCATACCTCACCCCACTCAGGCCCTTACATTATCCTGTTTGGCTGGCCTTTGGCCTCGGGATTTTACCATAAGCTGCCTCCTTGCTCCGCTCTGCTGCCTCCCGAAGCC